TGCTCTGTTGTAGCCAGATTTGTTAGATAGAACTGGGGTCATGATGGTGGGGATGTGGGGAGGGGGGTGAGGAAGCATTAAGGAACTAGAGGAATGTTTCAACAGTGTTTCATTGGTGCTATACTGCACCCGGGCTTGTGCATCCCTTCCTTGTGACCATTCTGTGAGGCAATGTCCAATTGTCTACAGATGGGCTTTGGCTCTCCATTCTGACCCCCCTCATTTGCATCAAAATGGTTGGTTTTTTTGGGGGGGGGTGTCTTCTGATGCCTAATACTTGATCCCTTCACCCTTGTGATCACATAGGTTGATGTGTGTCTTCCATATGGGCATTTGTGCTTCCCTGCTAAATGGCTCCTTGTTTAACTTCAAGTCTCTAAGACCCCAGAAGCTATATCTTGTAATAGCCGGACACCCTCAGCTTTCTGCACCACATTAGCTTATGCACCCATTTTGTCTTCAGTGATCCTGTTGGGAAGATGAGAATCACAGAATGCCAAAAACCTGTTCACTTTGGGTGACCCTGATAGCATTTGAAATACCAGTGGCATCGCTTTCAGCATGACAGCAACACTCAAGCCTCCACAGAACAACACAATGACAGACAAGTGGTGGGCTCAAACACGAGAACAACTGTGAAGATGGCACAGGACCAGGCAGTATGTGTTCTGTTGTACATAGGGGTGCTAGGAGGAACTGATTTGACAGCGCCTAACAAAAACAACAGTATAAATAGAATGATTTCCTTTTCAGAATGCCAACTGCTGATATGTAAAAAAAAAACAAATTGATTTTTGTGTATTGACCTTGGATTCAGCCAGTTCACTGAATTTGTTTATGAGGTCTATAGGCTTCCTTGTGGATTCTTTGGAGTTTTCTATGTAGAAGACCATGTCAGCTGCAAAAAAGATCATGTTATTTCCTTCCCAATTTAGATATACAATATTGAATATCAGTGGTAGAAGTGGGCATCCAGGTCTTATTCCTAACTTTAAGGGAAAATCTCTCTCTCAGTTGAGTGTGATGTTCCTACTGCCCTCAAAGTGATTTTGACTTGCAGTGACTCTATAAGGCTGAGCAGAATTGCTCCCAATGGCCTGGCTTCCAAGTTTAAAACATCTTAATGGAAGCAGATCGCCACATTTCTCCTGCAAAGCACTCGGTAGGTTCAAACTACCAACCTTTGAGTTAGCAGCTGTGTGCTGAACCACTGCACCACCAGAGATGATATTGGCTATGAATTTTTTTAAATGTCCTTTATGAAAAAAAACATCTTTCCCTTCTATTATGAAGGGAAGCATTTTGAGTTGACATATAATTAAATGCCCTCAAGCAATCTCTTTATTGACTTGTTTACCGACTTATTCATAAAGGACACAAACTCTTTCCATTGTGGTGGGATTTGGTCCATGAGGAGTGTCCACTTTTACTCAACACCTCCTCTTGCTCTTCACCATAAACTGGAATCTGTGCCTGAGAAGAACAAACAGTGGGGCCTTTATTTTGAAGACGGAAAATCAGTGTTAGTGCTCGTAGCAAAAATGAGAGCCTTTAAGATCTATTCTCTCTTTTCATTGTTCCCTACGCTTTCCTTGCCTACACTCAGCCCCTTTGTGTCTGCCTCCAATATCCACCCATGCACCAACTCTCCCACTTTGAATCTTTCTACTTACATCACTTTAAAAGTGAGAGGTAGGGGAGAGAGGAGATGGAACATCACCAATCCATGGCAGTGACTGTCCAACTCTGCAGGGAAGCTCACCATGACCACCAAGACACATCTCAAGGTGAATTCACCCCCTTCCTTTTGTTTGTCAAGCCCAGAGTCCATTTTGGGTTTTTAATTTTCATACGTTTTTTTTTGCGTCAGAGTAAATGAGAGAGAGAAACAGAGAGAGAGAGACAAAGAGCTGACCCACAAAGGTATCTAAAAGAGTAAAGAGTGCATTTCCAGGATCTGTTAATGGAAATTGTTTTCCCAGCTTGAAAATTGCCCACATTTAAACTCCCAATGTGGGGTAAGTGAAATCATAAATATGAACTCCTTTTCAGGCAGCAAACCAGCATTTCGAATCTCTCTCCTTTGCCTTTGGGGATCCATATGCCACAGTCTAGTTAGCTGCCCGGCGACTGACAAACATAAATAAAGGCAATGGTTGTAGTAAACAAAGTTCCTGCGAGTCGAAAAGTGTTTCCCAGGGAGGGATCAACATGCCTCTTATTACGCCAGAGTCACCAAATAGCCAAAGTTTAGCTCTTATAAAAACAAACAACAAAGGCAATAAAAATAAAAACGTCTGCCCTTTCTTCTGGTACTAGCCACTGTCTGTTCTCTACACTGGGGTAGAGGAGCCATCTGGAGGTTCATAATAATAGGAGGAAAAGGACATGAGTCTGGATTTACTGGTCTAGTGCCTCCCCTACCCATGCGACTTGCCACCAACTAATGCCATAGCTCCCTTCTCCTTCATCCCTTGTTGCTTTCTAGTCACCTGGGACTCCATCTGAGCTAAGTATAAAGTAGGTCTTAAGGTGCCATCATCCCCAGGGAATTCCAGAAAGCTGCAGCTAATAGGAAATGGGACAAGTTACACCCTGAGAGATGGCCATCTCCTTGCCTAAAGAACTAGATTAAGGATGAGGAATAGAATCCACCCAATGATATGGTTCATGTGCCAATGAGCCTAGTGTATAAACTCTTAGAGATAACAGTTGAACAAAGTTGTCAATGGGGCAAGAAGCGGGCTGTGTGTGTAGACTTTTAGATGGGCTCCCTTGGTCCTCACAGATGGTTCTGGATATGTTATGTGTATACCTTGTCAATGTTGTAGCCAGAAGCCCCTGCCTTAAAATCTTTTGAATACTAACTTGACTTACCTGAGCAGGTGTTTATGATTTCCCACCCCTGTCAACTCTTGAGCATGGTGACTCCTGAAAAGTCTCATAACCTTTTATTGCCTTTCTC